ACCTTTGTTAATGTTACAATGTTATTTAATATGTCGCGTAATATAAATTGTGAAATACTAACAAAACTAGGATCTCTCTAAAGCATTCATAGGCATTCATAGGCATCCGTTGAAATTATTACGCACGTACAAATTATGTAGAACATGTTTACAGTTGGCGTGACTAACGTCAGCAGAATCATTAGCGAATTCAACATGGAAGTACAAACGTGCTTGACCTTTTAATGTATAAACGAAGCCGCGTGGGTGTTCGCACCACCGTACACTACCTATTTTCATCTCATTTGTGGTAAGAGCATCGGTTTGTCTTATTCCGTGCACAAGACAACGGTAAATGGAAAGAAAAATTTAATTAACGATGCACGACGTTGTCGCATCATTTTTAACGGGTAGCATTGTGCTGCATATTTGCTATAGAAATGCATGTACATCACAAGTGTAAGATGTCAGCGTTCTAGCGAGCGCATTATGCGATGATTAACTGTAGGGTACCGCTTTAAATTAATAAACATTTGAACATTATAGAGAGATTACTACATTATAATAATTATTGTCACATGATATATGTATTTCAGAATCACAAAATATTAGTAACAGGTAAATACAAAAGAAATAGAATGCATATGTTAATTGCATGCTTATACGAGTAATCATTAGGTATTTTGTGACTTTATAACAGAGAGAGAGAGAAAGAGAGAAAGAGAGAGAGAGACTGTGCCATGGGCATTTTAAAAATAATAAATAACGGTGCTTATAATTATTACTCAGCTAGCCGCTAGAAATGTAATTAGTAAGAAGATTGAATTGACAAACTGTAGACGATTATAAAACTTTGTAGATAGTTAAAATGTGCATAGAATTTTTATTTATTAATTGAATATGTAATGATTGGAGATAAATAGGACCGCTTTGTGTATTAAGATACTTAAGATTATCTAAGCAGAATATAAAAATTTAGTTACCGATAATAAAATGTATGCTAATCTATAATTATCGCGTATGTTAATTATATTGATCAAACGTGAATCGTCATGATATCATATTGTTATATGTTCTCTCTGACACGATATATCGATAAAAGAAATCTATGCTATTTACGAAAGTAAAGTAAAAATAAAAAATTAAGTGATTGAAAAACTGTTTGCGATAAGACTCGACCATATGTTTATGATAAATAAATATATTATCTCTATTAATATAATAATAGCTATTAGTATAATAATAGCTATTTGTAATTCGATATATCTTTTGTGTGGGGATATTGTCTTTTTTTCTAAGAAACCTATTACTTCAGTGCAGTAAAGATACCGCGAAGAAAGGTAATATCCAAGTGTGGCGAATGCAGATGAATGAAGTGCGTTTTTGTAGACATAAGAAATTGCAGCACGGAATCGCAAACCTATATATATCGACACAAGGTACGTTGATGCACTCCCGATTCTGTTGCATAACATAACGCGTTGTAAAAGTAAGACAAATTAAGAAGCTCCATTGTAATCTTTGTACTTTTAAATTCGTCTTAAAATTATCCCATACAATTTTGTGTTTGATCTTATTCATGGATCGTTAACTCCTATCACCATGCTAGTGTTTGAGAACATCGAGATAAACGGATCGAAATTATACATATATTCTTGTCACGCAAGAGAATTCGTTACAAATATATTTTTTGCATATGCTCTTTCAATAGTTATGGATTTTACGCAAACTGGTTTGTCTCTTGAGCATGCGCTATTAAAATAGTATACGAGATGAAGCAACTATGCGCCAAACAAGATAAAAAATAATCTATTCAAATTTAATATTTAATATTTATATTTTCGTTAAAATTCAGTTTTTATTTCTTTTAGAAAGATGTTACGAATAAGAGTCAAATCTCTGGTAATACATATAATACAGAAGGTAATCTTTGAATTGTGATTCGTTCGAAATCTTTTTATAGATTAATATATTAATTGTTATGCTTCATATTATACATTTTGCAATATAGAATGAAAAACGGCAATTGATTCCATATTATACATGAGTATATGTCTCATTGATATTTACAATTCTATCCCAATTGATCCCAATATTTTTAGATATATAACGGTTGATATTAATTTATTATTGCATATACGATTCTTAAATGTTTTGTATTGGAAAAAAACATGGACTTTATGAGAGATATGAAGACATTTCTACCTTTACGGGCATTACATTTCAATATAAAATGATATGGAAAACAATATAAAAAATTACGCGTGCCTCACGGTATATAGGTAGATGTTAAAAGATGTCGTTTTAATTAAATTTTTCCAACTTTATGGAAGAAATGTGTATAGAGATACGTCCTATTTAATCCATTTTTATATTTTTTTGCATATAAATAAAAACGCTAAATATAATGTTTGAAAGCTCGCTATAATGACAGTATAACGGTATAGTTTTCTTAAGCGTTGTCAAGGCATAGAGGTGCAAGATTTTCATGATAAAAATATTTGCATTGAAAAAATATGTATTTATACGTATAAATTTTCTTAAGGACCAGTAGATGAATATTTATATTTTTAACTTTGAATTATTATTCAATGATAAATTGAATTTTCAATAATAAATAAATAAGAAATATAAATTTTTTCATTTAAATGCATAAGTACATTAACATATGTTTTTTACTTGATTATTTTATACATAAATCGTGATTTTATTAAAGAAACAGCTGTGACAGGCATGGTATATGAATGCGACAAATAATAACAATATTATAATGCATTTTCTCTTACGAGGCTAATGAAACAAAACATGTTCGCCTAATTTTGCAGAGGTGATGTTGTTGCATCTGCTGTGTCGCGAATGTACCGAGATGCGCGCTTATTGCGCGCATATAAATGTATTACGTAAATGTATTATACGAGAATGGTCCAAAGAGCGAATTGTATTTAGGGTCGCGCGTCCTTTTTTATATAAATATTCTTTATCTCCAAATTAACAACGATTAAACCAAAATCAAGAATACAAATATAATTTTTTTCAGCACAGTTGTGTGTAAAATTTCTGTGTGCCTCTAGCAGTGCGAGGAATCGCGAAACGCCGTCAATTACAACAAAAGCGCATTAATATTCTTTCCGCTTGAAAACATGCATCAAGCCTTTCAAAGTGCATTAGGCGACTTTTGAATGCGTCGCGTCGTTAGATATGCACCGCCAAATAATTATTGAGGCCGTCGCTTGCACGAGCGTTTATGCGTCTGTGCGTCTATATCGACGCAAAATATTCTCCGAAACATGTAATTCTAGACTCACCGGTACACGATGTTGGCAGACTTGGCGGACTTGGAAAACTTGGAAGAGCGCGCGCGTTAATCTGTAAAATACCACATAGGTATCTCAAATTACAGAAGTCTTAAATTAATTGATATATTGTATTTTTTTAAATGATTATTACTTGCATGAAACTTTTTCTTCATCTATACAAGCAGATGTTTGTAATAAAATAGTTAGAAAAAAATTTTGAAAAAAATTTTTTTCGTATAGCATAAACTTTTATAATATTTGATAAGTACAAGTTTTCAATTTTTATATAAATAATCCAATAATCATAAATCTTAAATACGTTAGGAGAAAATAATAAACACACATTATATTATGGATATAATGATGCAAAATGTGGCAGATACATACAAAATGTATCATGTAAACAAACGACATCGCGAAGACAAACGACAAACGATTAATTCCGCAGCTAACGAGTAATAAATAAGTGACAAACTAGTCTCACCTTAATCACGATCGCTCCGCTACGATGCGACTTCCTCCTGCTTCTCTCTCCGTTGTGGCTTCTTCATATAGTTGATATAGCACTCACATAACATAATACTCATTTACGCGAAGATTCAGTTAATTACGATTTACGATCAATCGCGATCGCGCACTTATTAGTTCGCGGTCGCGCTCATTAGCGATTATGTCGAGTTTTTTCGCGATCCCTGCCGCGCGCCGCGCGATGTGTGCCGAGTGTCAAGTAGGGCCCGCGCGAGGTGTTTTAGGTTAAGACCAGTCAGTGCCCGGGCGGTGTGCCTCCGCCGGCTCCGGTATACGCTTATGACGATCGCGTTACACGCGTATCGTGGCGCTTTACATTTGTTGCACTCCGATAGTCTCGGTACTCGGTACTCTCGACCCGCGTTTTGTTACATCACGATAAAAGAATAACGTGAGGAAATTGTAAGCTACGATCTGCTCTCGAGTCTCGACACATTACACGCGACGTCTCTACTCCTCTACGAATGACGTGATTGACGTAAGGGCTCGCGGAAAGAAGGAATTCGAAAATTGCGCGGCCAACTGGACGCGCCAGCGCCAGCCAGCCGTCAGCCGTCGTGACGATGTTAGGACTATTGATAATAAATGACCGAAAGCTACGCTTTTGCGGAAAGTACTTTTTACATTTTGAATAACAAATATATATGCTGATATTTTAGAATTATTGTTTATTTTATATGAATTTAATCACCAATGGAAATTCTCTATAGTTAACATTTTTCTCTACTATTAAAAATTGAAATAAGGAACGAGTTAATTGATTCGCATTTGAAAATTGTAATTTTTAATAAGTTATTATAACTAATTTACATACATATACATATTATATATTATTTTCATTATTATTTATGTTTATTATACATCAATTGATATTTTTTATATATATATCTATGTTTATATTTCTCTTCTATTTTCACGTAGAACATATGATTATATATTAATTCGACAAACTAGTTTCTCTATAATTTACAACTCGCAACAGATGGCGGTCGATTGGCCGGATCAAATAGCTAATTTAGCTGTATTAAATTATGCATTTTAAGAATTAAGACCGATAAAGGTCACACTATTTTATTAATTGTTAACAAGATCGTGTTCAAATGGAATCGCGCAGCTTTTTTACCAGCGTATTTGCCGGTAAAGAAAAGAAAAGAAAATTTTCATCATATTCGATTTTTCCCATTTATGTTGTTACAGCTGGCACTGCCGCGGAGAAGGGTTACTTCGGACCATGGAGACAATGTAAACTCCTTCTTTATGGACGTGAGTGGTGCGGCCAAAGCGTCTCCAGGTTCCAACCAGTGTGTGAGTTTTATTATAACGTATTTATATACTTTTTTCAACCTTTCCTATGCATTTAAATGTGTGGAATATATTATGGTTTTTGACCGTAATTAATCAAATTAAGAATTAGATGAAACGTTGGCGAATCAAATAGTTTTAATATTAAGTAATCTTAAATTGAGCAAGGATTATTTACGTTTTACCTCCGTGATGAATGGTTACGACGATAGTTTTATTTTGCTTCTTGAATACTTATTATAAAAAGTCATGTATAATGCGTGATTCGTTTAACTCGTTTAACATTAATAAAAATCTTGCGATTAATTATTTTCCCGTTTCGTTTCTATTCTTCTATCATTTTCTCGTTACGTTATTACGAAAAACGTAGCGTATAAAAGAGGTGGAGTCACGGGATTATGCAGCGCTAAAAATTCCCACGGCAAGAAAGCTCAATGCGAGTCCGAAATTACATTGGGATGCAATAGAATTACCATGGAATTCTTTCTTTATTTCCAGTGGCTGTGTGGGTAGCGGGATTAGCCGCCGCTGCCGCGTCTGTTCTTTTGGCGATTGTGGTCGCTTTGGCTGTGCTTCAATTAGCGATGGCCTCCTCCGCGAAACGGGTTGTAATTTCGTACAGTACTGCCCTAATAGGCAAAGTTGCCCTCGCTACATTGGCAAGTGAGTACAAATCAATGTTCTAATATATTAATTTAAATGAAGAGAGAGAGAGAGAGATTTTTAAACGGTTCCAATTATCTGCTTAACAAGCAGTATAAAACAATATTTAATCAAACAAAATTATATTTATTTTACAGAGAAATAAAATAAAGTAAATACATTTAAAATTGTGAAGTAGTAGATAGTATATGAAAGACTGTGTATATATATAGATATATATGTATATATAAATATTACAATATTTGGAAAGAAATTTAACATATTATTTACATAACAACGTATCAGACAAATATATTAGTTTTACTTCAGTAATTAAATTGTGAATAGCGGGGAAAATTACTATTATTTTAAGTATTCTATCAATTAAAACTACTATTATTATTGAAACATATATATGTCTGAGATATTGCGCATTTACATCTGTTGCGTGTTTATGGTATATAGTATATAGTACTTATTGCATAATTGTGTTATTATGAGCTAAAACTTTGACATGTGATGTATGTGTACAAAGAATCCGAATCACGTGCAAGGCATTAAAAGTTCTTTTCATCAGTGCGTTCCACGTAATTTTGCAATAATGCGGACGTATATTAGAATTACCATTTGCTCGCGCTCGTCTACTTACTGGCCTATTTACGAGCCCTTATACGAGGCATCAAATGTCTATGGGAGATTGTATTACAGTAAAGCAACATATTACGATGCCACGATAGTACCTATAATCTTTTTCATTGCATTGACTTCGCAATGACTTCGCATGTAAGTTAGGGGAATATTGGAGATATACGTATAATATATATTAAGCCAACCAACGCGTTCGAATTTTTTATTCATATAGTTTTATATCCATTTCTAATATCCAACAATAATAAATTGTATTATATAATTACACATTGAAACTACACAATAAAATTACATATTAAAATATAAAATTATATGGAATTCAAATATTTTATAAATCAATTTGTTTAATATCTCTTTTTAGCGGCATTGTCGATTGTGGCGGCCAGCCTTTTTGCTCTGCAAACGGATGATCGAGCCAATAGCTTTGTCATCACAAGAGGAGAAGCTTTTTACATGCAGGTAAAGTATATTGGCACGACAAAATCTTTGTTAGATATATATATTTTTTTTCCCTTCAATTTTATGTATTCTTTGACTGCATGGACAAGAAACTTTCTCTTTTAAAACAAACTTTCTAATTAACCTAATATTATTACTAAACGATGTTGCTAAAATTCTGCAAACTGTTAATTAAATAGAAATATCTCCATTACATGCAAAAACTCAAAATTTATAAGTCTCTGTTAATAAAATGCATTTTCTCGCATAAAACTTAATCTGACTCTGTTAAACTGATTTGAATACGGATGTACAGACTCATCAAGAAATAAATTGCGTTTTTCGTTGGCCATAAATAGTAATTTAAATTGTATATTGACCACAGAGAACGCGACGTGGCGACGATGACGGTGGTTGAATGTGAAAGAACGTCACGTTTTTTATGAAACTGAAACGATAACGTCGCCAACGCACTTTGGAAATTTGTTCTTATCACAAGACAAGGCAGTTTATGGGTGTTTGCCAATGCGGATCAAACACTCGCAGTTTTTGCAGTCCGGTACTTTGCAATACAATAAAGCTTCAGATTTTGTTAAGGAAATACTCAACTCGTTATTATAATTTTTTACGGGATGATTATCCTATATGTAAGCAGTGAAAGAATGTAAATCCAAAAACTCTAGATTAGTCAACTTGCAGTAATATGCACTTTCGAAATAACTAGATTCTTATATCTTTTCTCTCTCTCTCTCTCTCTCTCTCTCTCTCTCTCTCTTTCATATATATATTCCTGAGATATATCCGACATGATAGAACGGTTGATCTGGAGAATATTTATCAGATACACTAATATTGTACGTAATCCCTATATTCAAGATATTTTCAAGATGTCACGTACAGATTTCCTTCATAATTTTCACATATTTCTTATTCTTAGTTAATATTTTAATACTTTTAATGATTACGAATGTATTTTTTCTTGCATGCTGAACTTGTTGAGAGAGAGAAAGAAAGATTATATTCTCTTTTACAGCAAAAGGAAATCTGCAAAGTCTTGGCAAGAGATAATCTTTGCCAAGACTTCGCAGATTTCTTTTTGCTGTTTTCTGTGGGAATTCAACTTGATTGAAATATGCTACGAATATACTAAGGTAGATCATTCTGAACTTACTCGCGTCTGCTGTACTTGGTCTTGGTGATACAAAATGTTATACAAAAAGATTAAAAGAGGTAAAGGAATGTGAACGATATATCCAGATAACTCTATATACAATTAAATAGTATATTGCTATATATTTCCGCTGGTGTGCCAGTGAATTGTCAATCGGCCGAGAAACGTATATGTGACCGGAGAATTAAGCTTAAGCTTAGAAACCACCTGATCGTGAACTGGACTCAGGTGTTTCTTTAAGCCTCTGTTTCTGTCTCCCCACCGATTGCGACTTAGTATGTGTCGGAGCGACACATAGTTACGACTCATAGATAACTTTTAAAACAATGAGCCGACATTGGCGGGCCCGCAGTGAGTGTTTCGGTCTCGATCGTTAATGAACTCGCCGTGTTGTCCTCGTTCTCAGTTTTGCGCGAAGTGAATTTCTTTTGTTTCCTAGTTCGTCATATTCAGCCTTTTAGCGTGGAGCGTGGCACACAAGTTAGAGTGTGAACGGGACTTTCTGCTATTCGAAGCCCCGATGGTTATGTTTAATTACTTTCTTCAGCTCGTAGATAATTGTTGTGTAAATAATACGTAGATAATACATTTGATCAGTTTTGTGTATTAATCATTACTCATATTTTTTATGAGTAATTTCTAAAAATGCTAAAAAAGATGAAGCACACTATCTCTGATTGATTGGTCACTGTACAGTACATTATTTGGCTTGCGATAAGTTTTTCTTTAACATAGAGATCGTTTTATCATTGTGTTAGATACGATGGTATGCTGATATTTTATCGTCGAAAATACACAATAATGAATAAAAGGAAACAGAGTCTCTTGAAAGGGGCCAAGGACGAAATTGAATTGGACAGAATGAATAAGCAAAAACAAGGCAAGGTAATGTCGTTACTCAAGGAAATTCAATCGAGTTAATGTATTCGTTTTCCCAGTATTTCGCTTCCCCAGTATCATATTAGTGACATTACGCGATATAATAATATTTAATGCAAAATATGTATAAATGAAAATGACGAAGCTTTTGTTATAAATTTAAATTTATGATAACTTGATAATTTTACCAATGAAAAAAAGCAATTCTATATTAAAAAATTTATAATCGAGAAATAATAATCTCAAGTTAACTTCTTTAAAACCAAGTTATATCGAAATAATTTGCGGATAGAAATGCCGCGTAAAAAGATCGCTGAAATAAGCAATTTAAGCGATGCACATAATCAGCTGCTGTATCTGGTGGACTTTTCTTACGATGCAAATCACACAAAATTATTTCAATTATACATTAACTAATATTCTACAATTTATTCTACATGCTGCTAATTAAATAACGTGAGATGAAAACGCTCTGTAAAAGTCCTCACGTCGTTTGTCGTTTGTCGTGTAAGTGCAATGCAAACGATGCAGCATGCTCATCCGCGTGAAATGGAGTTTCTGTTGCCTATACAATCTCTCTACATTATTAAGCAAGTTTTTTAAGTATTTCAAGTTTTCATTTTCATTTTTCCACGACTTATTGTTTTCTCTCGGTGTATTTGGTGGTTCTACTTGTCACTTGTACTTTGACGCGAAAGAAACTCGTCCAACGCGACGGGACATGACCCATAGGGAAAATAACCATTGCCTTATTGATAAATCGAAAAGGGGTGGTAGATAACATGGACGATGTGAGCATAGTGGTTGCTTGCGTTCTCTTTTATCAGGTCTCTCGCGGTATAGGGGAGAAACCGGAGAGAGAAGCTCGTCGCGATGCTCGTCCCCAAGGAGGACAAAAAGAAAGGAGGCAAACACCGGACGACTACTAGATTAATTATAGCGACGGAACGATAATGGCGCGCGCGCGGCTTCTTTGTTAGCCCTAATTAAATTGTCTCCCCTTCCTCGCGCACTCCTTCCACCATCCATCCACCCAGTCGATCACCACCTACGGATGATGCTTCTTCTCCTCGTATCGATAGTATATAGTATACGCGCGATGAGGATCTCCCTAGCCAGCCTAGCCTCTTTATAGTTATTCGCTCGCCGTGTAAGAAGGAACGACCGAACGACGAGAGAAGAGAAAGAGAAAGACATTTGTTTGTGCTCGACGATAGAGATAGGATGCATGGTGTAAAATCATTTTTTTCTGATTGTGAGATGATAAGGGACTACGGCATTGCGACATGTATTATAGCCAAGTCTCGATTGTGAATCGGTATTTCGATGGAATCGGTAGTACATGGAGAATATGGAGATATTTGCGCCAAATTAGAACAGCGGATTGTAACGGACGGTGTTTCGGGTAATTGGCCTCTGCAAGCCAATTAGTGCGAAAAAACTAATAAATAATAAATGTGCGATTCTCGGAAAAATAATCACGTGTTGTCCGTAATGTTGGGTCGCGTACGTAAAGTTCACATCTCGAGCACGTTTGTGACTTTATTTATATTTCATTTTCGAATAGATACATTATACATTATCTTATTTCAGACCAAACAATCTAATACGAATGAATCTTTGTCGCAGAATAAAATATCTGTAGACGTAATAGACTTCTTAGTGAATTAATTTTGTTGTTATCGCGCGTATCAGTGTAAGTTTACCATACCTATTATACGAGTGGTAAAAGCAATTAAATTCATGTCTTTCATTTTTCAACAATGTGTTTTAAAAGCGCAGAGTTTTGCTTCTTTATTTCATATCTGTTGTACTTGTCCAATCAGTATAATATTAAATATATGTATAATTGCAAACAGAACGATTTTACAAGCGATTGTCAGTATGTTCAAAAATTCATTTATTTCATGGTCAACATATTACGCATTAAAATCATATACTCTAATACGAATACGTTATAGATTATGAGTATGTCAAAATTTACTTATTTTTAACAATAAATACCTTTTTTATACATATGCTAATTTTCATGCAGATCTCGATATATTACAAAAGTACATATAGGATATTTCTAAATTATTGTTTGCAAATGTAATTGTTATGTTTTTCATAATTTAATAGACGAGAAACGTATGAAATGGGCAAGAAGAATTGTGACATTGTGAGATATACTAATTGTAAGAGAAGATGCGATCGCGATATTTTTTACGTTGTACGTAGCTTTGCACGATCGAATTTTGATCAAAGCACTTTTAGATAGAACGTTTTTATTTATTATTCCAGTTAGTTGCTATCGCCTTGAACTTTGGCGTACTGGTCTCTGCTGTTTACGAGGGTATTTACGCTCGAAGAGGTGGCGACCCAACCAAGATTAGGGTCGTCACGGATCCCCGTGGAGCCACTATAAATAATCCAGGATATCGGGAATATCACCAACCCACGAACGGTAAGCTCGAACTGGAAAAGTTAGTGGTCCAATTTCCCAAAATCCACAACCGACCAAATTTCCCGATTAAGTTTAGTTTCTCAAATATAATATTATATTTATGTGGAAGGGTAAAAGCCATAGTGGTGTCAGTCAAATTTTTTAAGATGCAATCTGTACAATATATAAATTGCGTAAGTACATGTATGTACATATAACAAAAATGTTGTTTGCATATGTGTTGTATTGTTCTTTTGTTGGCATATGTCAGTTGTCAAGCTTTTACGATACATCTTTGTATATTATATTGATAGTATTCTATCGCGATCTGCAGATCGCTGCTATGTATGTACTTACGTTATATAGATATCTGTAATCTGTGTTACGTCATATCTGTCATACGTACATATAATAGTTCGATTACATTGTATGATAACATTTCTAATATAAAGGTATAAAAGTTTTTCGACATAAGCGGGATCAAGAATGAAAAGGAGCGAAAAGTAATCGCGGCATTAATTTTATTTCATCGCAGGTGGTACGATCTCGATGACAGACGCCAGCGGCAAGCCGTACGTCGGCGGGGCCGGAAACGGATCGACGGCATCGGTAGCGACTTCCGGTAGCGTGGCTAGTACAGCTTCGCCCCTTAGGAGCTCCCTGAAGAAGCCGAAACCCCTTGGCATTCATAATCCTGGCTTCTCGGCACACAGCCCGACCTTATCGAGGAACGGCTCGCAGAAGAAAGTGCGAATACAGACGCATTCCACGGAAGTTTAGCCAACGCGACGTGACGCGCGACGCTCCTTTGACACGTTGTCATCGTGAGAGTTTGCTACGTGATTACAACACCGTCGTCGTCGTCATTTCAGGCTGTTGCGATCGACAAGAAATCGAATGGCGATGACAAGACGTCTACTCGAAGTAGTTTCACGTGCATTAACGGTAGGTTCCATTAACGGTAGGTGGTCTCCAATATTACTATCGTTCATCCGGCGAAAGCGCGATCAAAGATCAAGTCCGTATCGAACGATCTTTGCTGTTTCACCACAGCCGATGAAGCATGAAAGTTTTTCGTCGATGACGTCATCCGTGATTTCGATAATGAGACTTTTAAATGAGCTCCAAAAGCGCGAACTTTGTCTGTAAGTCGTTCGCGAGCGTGGCATATTGTTACGATAACAGAATGTAAATAAATTTATGTTACGAGATCGATAATCGCCGGAACTCTCTGAAGCTACCTGAGTTAAATATCAAACAAATTCAGATCAAATGCGCGATTATAATGGTGACTTGTTATAAGTATTAGGATTTTTCCAATTTTTCTACAATATATTTATACGACATACATTCGTAAATGGACTAATAGAATGCAAATAAACTATAAAAAGTATTGACGGGAGAGTATAGGATGGACTAAAAAATAGAAAAATATATTATACATATGTTGAAGAAAACAAAAAAAAATTACGATTGTTATAAATATGATGAGTCGTTCTGAACGCAACATTTAAAATATAAAGAAAGTTAAGAAAGCATTACATAACGTAAAATAGTATGCGCGCGCACGTGTGTGTGTGTGGTGTATGTGTATGTGTGTTTGTGTGTGTAAGTGATAAACATTCTAATTTAATACCATGCGCGTAATTTTATAAATTTTACGAAGTGTCGAATAATAAAATTTGCAGGACATATTGCACAGGATATCAGAGTATCAATTGCATAATCCCATAAATAAATACTTGAGATTAAATTAATAAAGTCGACATTAATTCAAATGTTGATAAATGTCTGAAATATCTGTCATTACAAGTCACTCGTATAAATTTATAGTAACCAAGCAAAAATCGATTTCAATACTAAAGTACATTACGATAGAAATATAAATTTTACAAAATAAAAATAGGGAAAAAATATTCTTCTAGCAAAAATTAATTTATTTTATTGCTGATTTATGAAACAAAGACTGTATTCCATATCTTAATGCTCTATATTAATCCATCTTACTCTTTTGCCTTACTAAGTAATTTTACATGCCAAAAAACAAAACTTATAACGAGCTGTTGATAATAATTTTTAAAAATTATTACTTTTTTGTGAAAGTTTATGCACAAAAAATAATACAGAATTTGTCACGTATTGTATAATCACGAGTCTGTTCTCTATTTTCCATTTTTTTTTTACATCGAGAGATTTGTTAACCATGTATCAAGAGTCTTTAAATGGAATTAAATTTCCAATTATTTTATTATGAAAACATACATTATTTTGCTTGTGATAAAACATGATTATTTTAGTTACGTTGCTGAAGAAGTATTTTTGATTACGTAATCGACAAAAATTTTTAATGCAATAAATGACCTTTGCTATCATCATTTAGCGCGACTTTTAATATGTCAGAGTTTAAACATTGTCAACATTAAAATGGATAAATTAAGTTGAAAGTTTTATAGTAAGGGATCTCTATATTTGTTACATATACACATACTTAAAATCGGAGTAATAGTTACAACTACTTTTTAATGTCACCGTACTCTGGGTACCATACATCTAACTAAAATTCGAATATTAATAACGATAATGCATTAAAATATTTCTATACTTTTGAAAGCTTAAAGGATAGAGTGAAAAAAATTGTTAAGAAATATGTGTGTGTGTGTGTGTGTGTATATGTGTGTGTAATATATATAAATTTTTACGTAAGTAAGACATACTGCACGGCAATGAACCGTTACCGAATTTTATAATTGACTCATTAAAGATTTTTTTGATCTAATATATAAATATTAATGGTATAATTATATATTATTGTTAGCATTATTAACAGTTTTCCGTCCAATCAAGTACTTTATAATATTTAGCATTAATGTTCATTTATCATTGTTTTGCTGAACGCGTGTTTTATTAAAGTAATATTTATGATACATCACACGCGCGCGGCGTGTATTACGTAAACACTGTTATGTATTTTGAAAATTGTATTATTTGATTTATTTATTATTGAATTTTTAAGTTGCGTAATATACTTTAGTTTAATTAATTGATTGATAAAGGTCAGTTGCATCAATGTCGGTTAACGCTAATTATAATGTAAAATCAATAACACTTTACGTGTTACAATGAATTGAATTTTAAAATGGATAAAATTGCAAAAATCAAGCTTTTTTCTTGAGCTCTTTTCTTCAAGCTCCTTTATATTCTAAAGAACATAATTTTCATTCTAAATGTAACTTAATAGTTAATCGTTGATTATCATTATTCGGCTTAACGGAGTGCCGTGATCGAAAGTCGCAAGATGCGTGATATGTTTTCTTTCTTTTTTCTCCTTTTATATTTTTATGTTTTTTCTTTTATATTATTAGTTTTAGTAATAGTTTTATTTTTTCTCATCGCGAGAGAAAAGTGAAATTACATAACAGAGCATTGCATCCGTCCAGCCCTACGTAGGCAGCTAGCTGTGGAAACGGCAAGAGAAAAAGAGATATATAAATATATAAAATATTTATATTTTATATAGTGGTTGTTTTAATATAATATAGATATATTACATACATATATATCTGTATATCTATCTATCTATCTATCTATCTATCTGTATTATATATATATTAAAGAGAGAGATTGATTGATTGATTTATAGAGAGATAGAGAGAAGTGTGTTATTATTTGCGTGTCTCGTGTCGTGAAGATCGAGATACACATTTGTTTTTTTTTTCCATCCGAATAGTATTATTATATTTTATCGCTTATAATTTCTTTCTATTATAATTATTGTTATTGTACAATCAGCGTATCTTTATTTTTACACAAATATTTATATGACACTGTTCGAGAGCCGGCCTCGTTAAAATGTTCGTGTCACGAATTATCATCATTTTTAAGATATAGTCTTATAAATCCATCGAGATGTTTTCCTAAATGAATGTTTGTTCATATATGCAAAATTTAATTTATTATGCGGCCCTCACAAAAGGTCGTACGCATGCGAAATTAATCAAATTAGAAGTTAAGTTATAAGTTTATCTGGTAAGTCGAACGTAGCGAGATCAGTCGCGGCTCCCTAAGTACGCAATACGCTTTTTTATCGAAACCTTTGTAAAAGGTACCACCGGATTATTTGTTCCAGTATACCCGATCGCAATCATATCGCAATAATTAAAATTACTGTGTGGCAAAGATAATTTTTGTATTAAAATAAAAGCAATTTCCAATTTGATTATGTTCTATCACAATAATTATATAATTATAATGAAGGAACAAAATATCCAACTTGCCGCTAACTCTTTGAGACACTATGATGATACAAAAGTCATATCTTCCCTTTAAGAATCAGCTATCTAACTACATGTGATCTACTATTTGATTTGGATAGAGTAGTTGTATAATAAATCTAATCACTTAAAAAACAATATTAAGATACATTTTTCTATCTTTTAAGAAGAAGTAGCTCATGTAACGTTTATTGTCAATTTTTGATAAATGAATAAAATGAAATCTATAGATTGAATGGTTAAATTAGAAAAAAAATTATTTTAAAATACCTGTTTTGTGCTGGTGCAAAATTACCACTGCGAATGCATTGTTTCCGTCATCCCACAAGATTGTTGTGACATTTCGTTTCCTCGTTATCATTTATACTAGATAATGTTAATAGTTAACTTCTATTATTTAAATTTTTAGATAGTGAGCCGGTCAATAATGTGTAATCATATATAATGTACATATATACTATACGCAGATATCCGTTCACATTTTCTAATGCGAATGATATATTTGTCACATTTGCACCTATATCTATTTGTTAAGTCAGCTGTTTTTGTAAAGTTCGTACGTATTCAATGATATTATTGATAACGTGATATAAAGTAACTCTACACGATCGATATTATTATACAGTATATGTTATATTACGCAGTAGTATTGGTCATTTAATGATGATGTATTTATATCGTGTTGATATGTCGAACAAATATTAAATATCTACATTAAAATATTATTAGCACAATATATTGCATTATTAATATTGATTGTGTAGGCGTGCTATTTAAGTGCTTGTCAAGCACGGCACATAAGAAATTGGATAATGAACGAGTTTCAATAAAACGCATACATGACTTTTATCATTGTTGTAGATTTTTTTATTTTTTGCAGGATGTATTTCTCATCGATTACACAATAAGCGAATCTTGTCTATCAAGTGGGTTTGATTTACAATAAGGTTGATTGGAATAAGACAACGCAGTTGTAAAAAAATTAACTTTTATTTATTAACTTACAGACACTGGAAAAGAAAACTTAACGACACTGATAATATAATCTAACGCATGCGTCTCTCACGACAATTTACGATAATAATTATGTCCTAGAGAAGACAAATTAGAAAAGACGAATAAATTTCAAATTTCTCACCGCTATCATCAGGTGCCATCATGTGCCTTCATGTATAAGTACAGATATATAGTGAAGATAATAATTTTCAGGCTGACACCAAGCTCACAAAAATTAATGTTTCTATCGAGAGAGGTAAGATAATGTTCTATGTATATTTTCACGCCAATTTTCTTGTCCTTTCGAGTACCTGTTATTTAACTTTGTCAAGGTCCGTCCGACCGAAGGGTCGATAAAACCCTGTCGACCCCGTCGTGAAACGAGAATGCGCATTTCGTCACGGAGATCCTTCGCGAACACGAGGACGGCACTAGTCTAGGAACCAACAGATATCTCGCGATACCATATCGTGCGATCTCGCGAGATGATGAGAAACGTATTAAGGAACACTTTTCCAGGCCACGCCTGATCGGCAGTGACTGTCCCATTTATCGAATCGAAATTCGAGATCGTGTGTATGTACAAAGCGAAAGTGATATAATTTGATTAATATGTGTCATCGAATGAAGAATGGTAAATGAATTCTTTTTTCGGAGATAGCAAAACATTATAATAGAATGATCGTATAATAATTCGACGTATAATAATACATATAGAATACATATAATACATATACTTTTAACTTATTATCTGCGATCTGCGATTATGCAATATCGAATCGAGATTCGAAATTAGTTGTCGAATTAAAACTTTCGGCGCAAATCCCGATCTAAATCTATATGTAGAATACATATAATACATATACTTTTAACTTATTATCTGCGATCTG